TACTTATTTCATTCACACTTTTGCAAATGTTACTCGTTAGCATCCAAACTACACCATTTAATTACTATAAAACTGTCTTACACCACTTAGAGTTAAGTAGCAAAAGCCCATTTAGAACACAGCAAATAAAAACAAAAACATTCTCCACTCTTTCTAGGCAAAGTTGCAACCTACTGTTTACAATTTCAAAATCAAGAGGAATGGTGGATAACAACTAGGCTCTATACATCAAGGCCAATGGAAAATCAGTCACACTCTGGAATGCCAGGTTAATGTTGCATGGAAGGATTAAATGCAGCAGCAAATCCCACGCCACTCCCCCCCCAAAACACATTTGGAGTCTCAGAAATATCGCCCGATGAAAGAACCTAGCAACTGTTAGTTGCGAACCAAAAAAGGAAATAATGTATACAGTTGCAAGCAAGGTGGACTTCTCTACAGAATTTCTGTTCAGACATTTCCCATAGGACGAAGTTTGGAGGTAAAAGCATTTGTTGAAACTGTTATGCTATTAACAGACAGGAATTTAAATTTCTATTTGATGTGTAAAAACAGGATATGATCAAGTATTTAAAGCAGAACACAAATGACCATATTTATAATTCCTACTGTATATGAGCCAAAAGGGTTACAGCCAATTTCAAAGGAAAAAAACAGAGCAACGGTTCTAGGAGCAAAAAAACATTTACAGCGGTAACTATTAATTGTGGCCACAAAGAGCAGAATCCAGGGAGACCAGCACCGCACACACTTCAGAAACAAAAAATGCACTGAATCTTTCAAAACTGTCAAGGCTGTGACTTGTTGTAAAGTCTTTTGAACAGCACTGCAGTGAACATCACGTGCCTCTAGGGGGCATTATCAACGGACATGCAACTAGTACTCATTACAATTTCAGGAAAGTTCACAAAACTTAACCAGTATATTGTGGCTATAAAGCCGTGCCAAAGATAATCTAAAATTTGAGACACAATCACTTCAATTTCTTGGAAGCTGATCACGGTCCACATAGTTAGATTCTCTTTAAGCAAAGATCAAGATCCCTTTCCGTAAAATTCTTACACAATCACACATAGGTAATGTTTTCTCAACTGACAGCTCCACGTGAAAATTTCACTTTTCCTAAACTTGTTCTCCCACTTTATTTAACTGAATATCCATTGAGTCGCTATCAGCGAAGTTTACTTCCAATTGAACAACTATTGCATTTTGCTGCTTACCTTGTGGGTGGTTGACAAACGTAGTCACCCAAAAGTTGGGGATTTTGGCAATGAGTTCTGACCGCTTCTGGAAGTATGGCTGGCGTAGCTTGTTGTATTTTTGCTCTACTTTCAAAATTTCCTCACTTGCCTGTTCATTCAGTCTAAATGGAAAAGCATTAAAAATATTAAATCACAAAAGTTATTTGTAGCCTTGTAAAATAGCACTATGTGGGTTTAACAAAAAAAAGTTAGAAGTTTTGAAACAAAAAGTTCAATTCTGCACTGTAAAACAAAAAATTAAATAAGACAACAGCATCTCTGCATACAAGGGGCAGGGAAGATAGAAATACAAAAGGTAAAGCATTTTATCCACAGAACCTAATTGGTTCAAAATATTTCTGCAAACCCCAGTAGATATACCTGAGGTTACAATTGTGCTTTTAAGAGTCTGGACACAAAGTACAGCACTTAACCAGTGGGCTGGGACCAGTGATTTTTTCCTTCCTCGAATGCCAACGTCACAACAAACCAGTTTTCAAATGCAATACAATTGGGATTTTTGGAAGTCAAATAATTCCATTTCAAGCAAAGGTATCAGCAGGAAGTTAGGCTGCTTTTGATTCTTCAACCAAAGATATGTGAGAAACATTTAGAAGTTTTTTCTAAAAATAAAAAAGGGGAGGAAACTCTGCTACAACTATGCAAAATCCTGGTTAGACCACATCGGAGTATTATTGCGGGCACACCTCCTATTGGCCTTGGTAGGAACGTAGCAAGACACACAAATATCACTAGCGATCCAAATGGCAAATCACAAGATTATACCTAAATTAACAGTCAGAGAAGAGAACCTGCAGGACAGATAGGAGCCAAGGGCAGCACTGATGCATCACTTGTTGAACTCCACTTGAGGATTATAAATGCCTCCCTGGCAGAAAAGACAGCACTATTTTGGCTCTTGGAGCCATCGTGTAAGTTCAAATAACTTGGGCGATCCTCCAAACTTTACCTTCAATCTCAAAATTTAAACACCCTGAGAAGACAGCCAGATAGAACCTACAAATAGATAAAGCTTGCCAAAATAGATTTTGGTAGAAAAGAAGGATCCAGACCCGAAACATCAGCCTTCCTGCTCGGCATGCTGTGTTCACCCAGCACTACACCTTGTTATCTCAGATTCTCCAGCATCGGCAGTTCCTACTATCGCTGAATACTAACATGTACATACATTCTCACCAATTATAAAGCAGTGCTTTAATCTGTGGATGTTAGCACTAACAAAAAAACCCACTTAATAAACATTCTGTTCTGTGAAACTAACTTTGAAATCATAATTTACCTTCAATTTCTGTGAGTATCAAGTACAGTGTACCAAATTTCAGGACATTAGCATATGGCTCATAACATGTGAAACAGTGGAAACGTTCAAACTAAGGGCCACTTCCGCCTAATGCAACAAAATTATTGCTGAACTTTATTTTAAAATGTTACAGATAAAACAAGTTTTATAGAAAAATTCAATCAACCACCTGGGGGTTAAAATGCAAAAGTCATTGTTTCCTTCACATTACCTGTCTATTTCATTCTGTACTTCATCAATGTGTTCAATGGCTTCCTGTTGCTCTTTTTCTGTAAAAAAAAATCACAATTTGCGATGTGCTCAGCATGTACACTATTTCTAACACTTTTAAAGAATGACAATTGCAGCATGACCTTCAACTTAAACACTTCTCTCTCAACCAAATACTCTTGGAAAATTTGAAATCATTAATTGACAGATCCAATTTGAGTTTTTTGAAATTCAGAGGCAACTTTGCCTACTTTTTCTCAAACTGGCAAAAATAAAAGATGCACACAAAGTTGTGAACTCTTGCTTTAGCATAACTTCCTACAGATTGATGGCCTTAGGAAGAAACATTTCATTAAATATTCAAAAAGGCAACGGGTAAGCTTGGAAGAGCTCCTAATCACATTCTGCAAGTTAACCTTCTACAAGTTAACAATACTGTTCAGTAATATTCTGCGGAAAATCTACAATCCCATCTCAAAAGTAGATGTAACGAAATCTGTCATTAAACTATCCTCCAAGGGGGGGGGGAACACATTCTTTCCGCTCACCTATTAGTTGAACTATGAAAATGGAGACAGACTATATCATCTGCAAACAGCGTCCAGATTTATTTAGAATTGTATGCGTGGTCGTACCACTTATTGCGAATCTGACGGTAGGAGATGTCAATAATTCGTCTGCAACCCACGTTTCAGTACTGCTTCCCTTTGTGTTGAATGAACCCCTGCTAAATTATGAGCCGCGTGGTTCCTCCACGAAGGAAGTCGTTACTTTCAATGCCGACATTTCATTTGGAAATGAATTGCACCGAAAACAAACTTTTTCAAAATTCAGCATTAATGAAAGCTGGTTGTACATCTGCTTTCATTTTAAGATGATTTCACAATTTTAGCTCATGCAATAATTTTCCAGTTTCCCCTCTCCTTTCACACCAATTAAACTCTGAAAGCGCATTTAACTTTTCATCTCCAGATTTAGCTGTTTTTTTTTTTAAAAAGAAAAACAAGTCTTGGTCACGTCATTCTGATTCTCAAAAGGGAAGGCATTTAATCAAAAAGACTCAAAACCAAACATGGGCTCACGTAAAAATCGCGTGCACAAGAAGAGTTTTTAGCTAGTATTGCCTGCCCCGAGGATTTAAATCGTTACACTAGGTTGCAAAGAGGAGAGTAGAAAGCTGTCTATAAACCCCTTTAACTCCAGGCCGCGTGGTTAGGCCTCTTCTCCCCAAGTCGGACGACTCTAACCCACCGGAGTGATGTTCCTGCTCGCGTGAAGCCCACGTTCAGACCTGCCTCCTTACATATCATCCTTACCCGCTCTAGGATTAGGGGGAGGGGAGGGAAGAGAAGAGAGAGAGAGAATGTCTGTGTGTATACACGCCTGGGGGTGGGGGTGGAGGTTAAAAGAAATAGGGCATCTCACCTCGGGCCGACGAGCAGGCCACGGCGGCTCCATTTCTCTTTCCTGGTATCATGGCGGCCGCCTTACACAATGAGAGAGGAGGAGCTGGTGCAGAGATTCTGTTCTTTCTTTTTTTACCCCCCTCTCACTCACACACTCTCTCGCTATGTGGCTTCATAAACATGGCGCCGGAGTGAATGGAGTTACCCTCCCGCGCTGCCTTTCAGCTCCTCTCCAGCCCGACCGAGAGGGGGAGCGTGGGGCCGCCATTCCGCGCACATACACAACACATACACAATATACATACACAGATATACAGAACACACTCAACAGAGAGGCCTTCACGAACGCAAGCACGAAAACATATTTGTCCACCAGGCGAAAATAAAACCAACAGTGCACAAAAAGAAAAGAAATTACCTGAGGTCTCATCTGCTCCATCATGGTTCGAGTTCACCTCCTTTTTACTCATCTTTGTCGCTGGGACCGACATCTTGGAAGAAGGAAAAAAAAGGGGGAAATAAAAAAAAGGAGAAAAAAATGATTGGAAAAAAAGCCCTGATCCGCGCTTTCTTTCACGAATCTTCCTCTCTCTGTGTATATTTTACTTTTTCCTCCTGCACTCCCCTCACACACACGCTCTCTCTCTCTCTTTCCCCCTCGATGGCTCAGCGGGTCTCGCGCCTCTACCACAGGAGGGGATGGAAAAAAAACGCTCGCGCTCGGCCTCTCCAGCACGCACGCGCGCTAGCGTCCCACCCCCACATCAACAACTCCTACAAATACGCATGCGCGACGCGCCGCCCTCGCGCCGGACGCCCGCCCCGGCGTTGTCTCCCATTGGCCGCGGCCGGGCGGCGCGAAGGCGGCCGTGACGTCAGGCGGCGCGGGTCGTCATGGCGACGGGTCGTCCCGATTGGGTACGCGTCCACTGTTGGAGTCCTGCTGTGTGTTCGAGTGTGAGGGGAGAAAGAGAAAGTTTTTACTGCGTGTGGGAGGTGAATGAGTTTTAAACACTCCAACGTATTCTTTAATGTATAAATAAGCTACTCTTGGCTTCGTGAGGAGGAGGAAGAAGACATTTTGGTGCTGGGGATCCCCCAGCAACGCCTTAACGGATCCGCGCTATGTTCACGGACGAGGTCCGGGAGGCCGTGTCGATTGATTCGCGCTGGAGGAAGGTTCCCGAGCTGCGTGACGTAGTTTGTCAAACGGCGGTAGTTCGGCGCGCCGAGGCTTCGGTGCAAATTCGACGCAGCGCGAGAAACGGCACGCAGACCGATCCGGTCGAGTGCCGAGAGCTGCAGGCCTTCGATGGGAGTGCGGAGCCGTCGATCGATTCCCCGCGTCTGGCCCGCTTTCTCCGGCAGGTGGAGCCCATGGTGAGCAAGGAGTTAATAAGGAACATCAAGAGCCACGCCTTCGATGGATTTGAAGTCAACTGGATAGACCACCCCAATACTGTGAGTTTCCCAGTGGCAAAAGTTGGACGTTCGAGTGCATTTCAAATTGTGTGTGGTTTTTGTCGCGTTACTTGCAAAAGTGCGTTCCTCATTGAATTTGGAATTCCATACGGCAGTTTGCGAAACGAACTTTTCTGGTAATTTAGACAACATAATCTCGATTATTGTCATCGTGGTTCAGCATTATCATTGTTGGCTAAACCCTCTCTTTAGTGCAACAAAAACGGAAATTGCTGGTGAAAGTCGGCAGCTCTGGCAGCATCCGTGGAGAAAAAGCAGAGTTAACGTTTCGAGTCCAGTAATCCTTTTTCAGATCTTATGCATGGCCCGAGAGAGAAGTAGGTGATAGTTACATTATAGATTGTCCTGTCGTACAATTATAATGTGGTAGATAGTAAAGCAGCTATCAAACGATAGGAAGCGAGTACATTTTGCATAGTCAAGTAAGTCAAATAACGATTAAAGTCAGAAGATTCTGGAAGCGCTGTGTGTTGGGCAGCACTTGTTGAAAAAGATGGTGTAAATACTGGGTTTGCTGTGCGCCGAGCCGCTTGACAATAAATTGACTGTTGCTCAGAATAGGGATTGTGGCTGAGACATATTAACTTTGTTTTTCCGTGGCGAGGTGCTGCACTCACCCACTGAGCGTTGTTTTCTGTTTATATTGCAAGCAATGAGAGTTGGCTGGGCAATGTTATAGATATATATTTTACTTGAAATGCGTCCATGCTTAAATTTGCTGCATAATTTGTAATATATTTCCACATGTAATATTTATCAGTGTTTTAATATTTAGTTTAATATTTTAGTTTAATTTATGCTAACTTTAATATCACTTTTTAAACTTAGTGTAGGAGTGTCTATTTTCAATATCTAGTCAATGTGTCACTTGTCTAGTCACTTGTAGACAGATTAAGAAATTCTTGTAATATTGCATTTTTCGTGCCCTCAGGACATCATGAATACACCCATTCCTCTAATTCCAGATACTTTTAGTCAACCTGTTCATTATACTACATGTCTGGGGCAGGGAATTTGAACCTGGGCCTTTTGGCCCAGGTCGTCGTCATTGGCGGTCCCTGGAAGACGAGGATGGCTCTCTTCCACTCTCCAGGTGAGTTTGTAGATGGCTGTACAAACCGATATGGCTACCACAGGCTCTGTTACACTTGGGGCAGGTAGTGGGAAGGGGTGGTGCATTGGTGTGGCACTGTGGTAATGTGCTCCATTTGCTGTTTTTGCCTGGCTTCCAATTTTTCCCGGTGGCATGTCTTGAGGTGCTCAATGCCTTCTCAGATGCTCCTCTTCCACTTTGGATGGTTTTAGGCCAGAGATTCTAGGGATCTGTAGGAGTGTTGCACTTTGCCAGTGAGGCCTTGAGGGTATCACTGAAGCACTTCCTGTGTCCACGTGGGCTTGCTTCCGTTTTCAAGCTGGGAGTACGGTACCTGCTTGGGGTATGGACAGTAGCTTTTAGCCACAAGAGGTTTCTAATGTATGTCTTTACAGAATTGAAATTGATTCCTTACCATGTTCTTTTAGCAAGTGCTACAGAAAATAAAATGCTGAGAATAATTGCCTGCTTCTAGTTCATATAATTCGAATAGTCCATAAAACCTTTAGAGATAAGAGCTGAATTAAGCCATTTGGCTCATCAAGTTTCTCTGCCATTCAATTATGGCTGATTTTTTTCTCAGCTCCATTCTCCTGCCTTCTCCCCATAACCCTTGATTCCCTTACTAATCAACCCTCTGAGGCAATGAATTCCACAGAATAACTAAGCTCTGGCTGAAGAAATTACTCCTTATCTCAGTTCCTTCACTCTGAAGCTATGCTCTCGGGTCCTAGTGTCTCCTACTAGTGGAAACATATTTCCACATCCATGCTATCTAGGCCTCTTAGTGTTCTGTAAGTTTCAAACAGGTTCCCCTCTCATTCTTGTAAACCCCATTGAGTACAGACCCAGAGTCCTCAACTGCTCCTCATATGACAAACCCTTCATCCCCCAACACCAGCACATCTTTCCTTAGATATGGGGCCCAAAACTGCTCTCAATATTCCACTGTGGTCTGACCAGAGCCTTCTACAGCTTCGGCAGTATATTTCTGCTCTTCATGGAGTCATAGAGCTGTACAGCATGGAAACAGACTCTTTATTCCAACCAGACATCATAAATTAATCTAGTCCCATTTGCCAGTATTTGGCCCATATCCCTCTAGACCCTTCCTATTCATATACCTGTCTAGGTGCCTTTTAAATTTGTGATTGTACCAGCTTCCACCACTTCCTCTGGCAGCTCATTCCATACAGGTACTGCCCTCTGCATGAAAAAGTTGTCCCTTAGGTCCCTTTAGGTCTTTCCCCTCTCACCCAAGCCTAGTTTGGACTCTGCTACCCTGGGGAAAAGATCTTGACTATTCACCCTATCTATGCCCCTCATGATTTTATAAACTTCTATAAGGTCACCCCTCAGCCTTCACAGCCTTGACTGTTGCATCTAGGTGGGAAGTCTGATGGTTGAGCGAGAGGTTGTTCTTATTGCTCCAGGTCACCAAGCCCTCTGTCTTCTTTCTGTATTCTGACTTGTCGGTTGATATCCGTCCTACCATGGTGTCATCAGCAAACTTGTAGATGGCATTTGTTCGGAATTTGGCAACACAGTCATGGATGTACAGGGAGTACAGTGGAGAGCTCTACTACACTTCAAAAGCACTTCAGTGGCTGTAAAGCTTTTAAAACGTTCTGTGATCATGTAAAGTGTTCTGAGACTACAAGATTTTCTTCAATAATCGTGGTTCACATATGATTGTAATTTGTTTGTTAATTTTAATTAATCCATTCTTCATGATTAAATTAGTCTTGTTAGGTATATAAGATTATGCAATAGGAGTGGATTGTGTAACTGCAAATATTTTCTATCGAATGGAAAATTCTGGAAGGTGAGATTTTTAACAATATGATCTTAACATGTTAAATGGCAATAATCTCATTAATACTACATCTATAATGTAGATAAATATTACAAGGTTCTTGTTCTTTTGCCATTGAATTTATAATCTGAAAAAGGCTCACATTTATAGCTTGTCACTATATCAGGATCATCTTGGAATGCAACTGCAACTGCTGACTTCTTTTCTCAACTGGAAACAGTCGTCTTCAATTCTTTCACACTTCCCTCCTCCTTCATCTTCAAAAAGTACGAGCAGTTCACAGACCTCTATGTTACATAAATTGAAATAATCTGATGAACATTTTCTGCTGTTTTACTCCCTTCACTAGCTCACCTGGCTAAGGTTCCTTTGATGTGCTTCCCTGCCCTTGTCCTGAATTCTCCTCATTCTCTAGATTTTTTTCATCTCCTATCATTGTCCTCTCTGAGCTCTTCAGTCCATGAGAACCCACCTCCCTTTTCCTCTGTCCAATTCAGCTGAAATGCTGAAAATAAAGACAGTCCACTCCTGGCCCCCATGTTAAATGATAACAAAATGGTTATCTTCAGGTTTTGTCTCCCTTTCCATCAAATCTATTGCCATATCCCCATTCCTTTAAAGACAATCTTTGCTTTTCTGTCCTTGCAAACTGCCATCCCATCTCCAGCTTCCATTTCCCTTATCTTTGAGGTGTTGTTACCTCCCAAATCTGGTTCCATCTTTCCTGAATTCCTAGTTTGAATTGGAACCCTTTCTAATTGGGTTTATGCCCTTGCCGTAGTACTGAAACACTTCTTTATTTTCTTTTCTTTATTCGTTAATGGGATGAGTATGTTGCATTTATTGCCCATCACTAAATGCCCAGAGGGCAGTTCAGAGCCAACCACATTTCTGTGGGTCTGGAGTCACATGTAGGCCAGACCAGATTAGAATGGCACTTTCCTTCCCTAAAGGACATTAGTGAACTAGATGGGTTTTTCTGACAACGACACTGGTTTTATGATCATTAGACTCTTAATTCCAGATTTTTTTTAATTGAATTCAAGTTCCACCATCTGCCTACCATTATCTGCGTCTCTGGATTAACAGTCCAGCGATAATACCATTAGGCCATCACCTCCCTGTGTAAAAATCACAACTGGTATTCTCTGTGACCGTGACAAAGATAAACTTCCTCTGTTCTTCCTTCTCAACCTATCTTTGATATAGTTGATCACACCATCCTTCTCCAACACCTCTGCATTGTCATCCGGCTGAATAGGACTACTCATCTTATTCCATTCTTATCTATCTAATCAGAGAGAATCACTTGCAATAGCTTCTCTGTATACTTCGGTGTCGCGTTCAACTCTAAGATGAACTTTAGATCTTATTTCTGCATTCACCAAGACCATTCCCACTTCCATAACACTGCTTGAATTTGCCCCCTTTTCAGAATGTCTGCTGCTGCTGAAACTCTCACCCAGTTATCCTTAGATTAGATTATTTCAATATTCCTGGCTGTTCTCTCACATTCTGCCATCTATAACTTTTCAAATCTATTCCTGTTCATTCCTGTGATTGTGGCCCTCTGGTCAGGCAACATCTTGATTTTAAAACTCCCATGCTTTTTTTTCAAATCCCTTTTTGCCTTGTGAAATCCCCTTCAACCCCACAACTTTGAGATGTCCTTTCAGGAGATAAATTGATTGGCATAAAATTCCCAGCTGTGACCTGCTGTTGTATCCACAATATTTACATGGCTGGTCCAGTTCAGTTTCTGGTCAGGATGTTCACAGTGCAGAATTTAGAAAGTGTATGTCATTAAATATTAGAGGGAGTTTCTTAAATTTTCTCTTGTTGTCTTTATCTGGCACTTGCGAGTCATGGATGTCATTTTACTGTTCTTCAGCCCAAGCCTGAATGTTGTCCAGGCAATGTTAGACATCTTGCTTCAGTATCTGAGGATTTGCAAATGGCACTGAACATTGAATATGGTGCAATCATCAGCAAATGTCCCCATTTGTGACTTTATGATGAGGGAAAGTCATTGATGAAGCAGCTATAGATGATTGGGCTTAGGACATGGCTGTTGTGGTGCCTTTACCTCTGGTCCAGGAGGTCTGGGTTCAAGTACTGCCTGCCCTAGAGGTGTATAATAACATCCCTGAACAGGTTGATTAGCAAATATCTACCCTAAGGAAGAGAGGGCTTTTGTAGTGCAGTTGTAGTGTGTCCCTACCTGAAGGTCAAGAGACCTGCTTTCAAGTCCGACTTGTCATAACATATCTGATTGGTTAATTAAAATGTATGTACCCTAAAGAATACCTGTAGTGATGTCCTGGGATTGAAATGATTGGCCTCCAACAACTATGCCCATCTTCCTTGTGCTGGCATGCCTCGAACCAGTGGAGGATTTTCCCACTGATTCCAATCAAGGCCAGTTTTGCTAGAGCTCTTTTTTTTTGCCGTGCTCTGTGAAATGTTACTTTGGTGTCAAGGGCAGTTCCTGTTGAGTTTGGCTCTTCTGTCCATGTTCAGAATAAGGGAGTAATGAGGTCAGTAGTTCAGCCCTCGTAAAATCCAGATTGAGCATCAGTATGCAGATTATTATTGAGTAACTGCTACTTAATAATGCTGTTACACTGGCCAACGATTGGGAGTAGTCTGGTGGAGCAGTAATTGAGGGATTGGATTGGTTGTAGTCATAGTCATAGTCATACAGCATGGAAACAGACCCTTCAACAGACAGTCCAACCTGTCCAGGCCGAACATAATCCCAAATGAAACTAGTCTCACCTGCCTGCTCCTGGCAGATATCCCTCCAGATCTTTCCTATTCATGTACTTATGTAAGTGTCTTTAAATGTTGCATCCATCACTTCCTCAGGAAGTTCATTCTGTACACAAACCATCCTCTGTGTAAAAAAAAAAAAAAAAAAAAAAAAAAAAAAAATTGCCCCTCATGTTTTTTTAAATCTCTCTCCTCTCACCCTAAAAATATGTCCCCTTGTCTTAAAATCCCCCATCCTAGGGAAAAGACACTTACCATTAACCCTACCTATATCTCTCATGATTTTATAAACTCTATACAATCATCTCTCAACCTCCTATGCTCCAGTGGAAAAAGTCCCAGCCTATCCAGTCTTTCCTTATAACTCAAACCTTCCATACGTGGCAACATCCTGGTAAATCTCTTCTGAGGCCCTGGCCCTGCTTTTTATGGACATATCTGGCCAATTTGCCAAATTGTGAGGTTGATGCCAGTCATGTAGCTCTCTTGGAACTACTTAGTTAGGTGTGGGCCTGGTTTTGGAGCACAAGTCTTCAGTACTATTGTGGCAGAGATGTTAGGGGCTACGTGAAAGGCCTATGATGCCTTCGGGCATATCATGATATCCGGTAGAGTGGAGTGATTCAGCTGAAACAACTGGGAATTTTAGGAGGAGGCCAAGATGGATCATCCATTTGGCAGTTTTGAGTACAAATCCCATGGGGAAAGCATTGAAATCATAGAATCCCTACAGTGTGGAAGCAGGCTATTTTCCCCAGCAAGTCCACATCAACCCTCTGAAATGCATGCCACCCAGACACACCTCTTACCCTATCCCTGTGCCCCTGCATTCCCCATGGCTAATTCACCTAACCTTCGCATCCTTGTATACTATGGGCAATTTTAGCATTGCTAATCCACCAAACCTGCACATCTTTGGACTGAGAGAGGAAACTGGAGTACCTGGAGGAAACAAATGCAGACATGGTGAGAATGTGAAAACACCACACAGTTGACTGAGGGTGGAATCAAACTTCAGTCCCTGGTGCTGTAAGGCAGCAGTGCTAACCACTGAGCCACTAGTTTTGCAGGAAATAGTTTGCAGTTGGGGTGGCGCAGTTGGGGTTGCACAGTGGCTAGCACTGCTGCCTCACAGCACCAGGGATCCGGGTTCAATTCCACCCTCGGGTGACTGTGTGTGGAGTTTGCACATTTTTCCCATGTCTGCGTGGGTTTCCTCCGGGTGCTTTGGTTTCCTCCCACAGTCCAAAGACATGCAGGCTAGGTGGATTGGCCATGCTAAATTGCTCATAGTGTTCAGGGATGTGTAGGTTAGGGGGATGGATTTGGGTGGGTGCTCTGAGGGTTGGTGTGGACTTGTTGGGCCGAAGAGCCTGTTTCCACACTGTAGGGATTCTATAATTCTATAATAATTTAAAAAAAAATCTCTTGCAATGATAGCTCTGTATTTGCATTTATATAGCATCTTTGCATGGGAAGAATTCCTTTGTGCTTCACAGAAGGCAAAAGGAGAAATATCTTGATATGTTGCTTAAAAATGGCTTGGAAACTGGTAAATGAATACTTCTAGGCCTTATATTTTTCACACTAAATGTAATCAGACCTGTTTCCTTTCCTTGTTACTATTACTGGCAGACACTACAAATCTAGTTGAGCCCAATCTCACATTCTACCCCCAACTCTGACATGTTCCAATTCCTCCTTTGTATTATTGCCAAATCTTTATACCCTCCATACCCAATGTCATACTTGGCTGTTTGCCGTCCAACTGGAAATTTGTCTCTATTGTTGCTTGTGGAGTCTAACTGTTTGAAGATTGACTGTTTAATTTACCTGCATTATAAAAAAGTTATTTAATTCTGAAGACCTCTGGATGTAATATATTGATTCAAGTCAATTTCCTCTTCCATACTTCAATGTACACTGTGACTAGAAGTGAGCAATGCCACACAAGGTCTGCTTATACTAAACAAAATACTTTTAATTCTTGCCTGATGGTGCAGCTGTGCAGAGGTAATATTGGACTATAATATAGTTTCTACTCCTCCTATAATGAACTTTATAAAAACAATTTGCGAATAATTGTGTTCCTTGGATAATATTAGATAGCAACCTAACCAGGCCAAAATTTGCATGTTCTTCCATATTGGTATGTTTCCAAGGTATCAAGTGCACATGCAGTGGTCTCTGCCAAATCTATCAAAACAGCTATGCCCATGCATTTAGTTTTGTAGTTTATTTCCATGAACTGTTTTGATTTTTGGCAGTCGTAAAGAAAGACCAGAGCAGTTCCAATATATATATAAAACACCTGCCAACTATTTGACAGAAGCATCACTGTATCATCTTGTGGTCTTGTCCTGTGGTAGTTTGTGTAAAACTGTGCAAATTTCCTTTTATGCTTGCCATTTAAATTGACTTGGGATTTAATGAAATCAAGATCTCCATGATTTTGACCATAACGTTTCAGTGCTTTGTTCATTTGTCCCTGAAGCTCCATTATGTTTATTCTGGTTTGGTTTGTTTATAACAAAACAAATTCTGATCGTTTGTGTTCCTGTTGATGTTTCTATTGAATTGATTTTAAAATGTTTACATTTAAATAGTGCCTTTTACCAACTTCGGGATGTCTGGAAGCGTTCTGTGACCAGTGAGTTAGTTTTGAATTATAGTCATTGTTTCTTTGCAGGAAGTCGGCAGTTAGTGTTTACACAGCAGTATCCCAAAACCAGCAATATTGTAATTACTAGATCATCCAGGTTTTTCAATGCTTATTGATAATGCTTATTAGGACATTGGGGAGAATGCAATGTTAAGTTGAATTCTCCGATATTTATGGGAGTTTTTTCCCCCTGTACTTTAGATCCTAGGATTTAATTTAGACTGCAAAAAAAAATCCATGTTCATGACAGTGTGTCTTAGGGACGGTATGGGATTCTTTTGGTCAGCAGTGTTCAGTATATACAAGTTAAAATTGAAGTAATTTGCCCTTTCTATGCAAAGGGAAGTGCCTGTTTAAAGAGTAGAAGGTACAAATTGTTTCCATTAGGAATTTAAGCTTTATAAGTCATTGATTAGGTCTCTGAGGGAGTATTGTATCCAGTTTTATGCGCTACACAGAAAGGACGTTCAGGCTTGATGATGGTGTAGAGGAGATTTTACCAAAATTAGTACTACCGATAAGCCACTTCAGTGATGTGAGGAAACCAGAGGGGCTGGAATCATGCTACTTAAAGCAGAGAAGGTTTAAAAGGAGATTTGATAGAGATGTTTAAAATTGAGGTGTTTTTTTTAGAAAAGGACTATTTCTGGTGCTATATAAATATTACCTGGATTTGGCAGATGAATGAATCGCCAATTCAAGGGAACTCTTCAAATTTCCTACATACCTTTGACACAGTGAAACACAATTCTGACTTAGAAATTCTGAGGGCATATCTGATGTGAAAAAACTTAATGAGAGGCATGGTCCTTAGTTAACTAGAAGTAAAGTATAAATCCATAATTATCCCCCTGTTCTTTGAGGCAAATTAAAATCCAGAACCCTACCACAGTATGCTTCTATTGTAAATGGCATATGGCAAGTGATTTAATATATCTGCATTGCTGCAGGTATGGCCATTATATTAAATACTTTACTTTGGCTTTTACAAACATTTTATTTACAGACAAAGCTTGACTGATTTTAGCGGTTCTCGAAGAAATGACCAGATATATAGATGTAGCTTGTATGGATTTTCCGAAGATATTGAATATGATGTATCGCAAGAGACTTCGTGGAAAAGCAATTGGATGGGATAACAAAAAACAAAACAGTAGAGTAGATTGACAGACAAGAATGTTCTATGTTGAGGTGTGCTGTGTATTTTTTGTCTCTGTGCCAAGTAAATTTAGCGAATAGTGATTGAATTTAATCTCCTGTGGTTGAAATCCATAATCTCGCAACCTATAATTGCAAACCACGTGATTCTACAAGCTTTGATATTGAAATTAATTTACTGACTGAAACAAGAATGTAACTGGCTCCTTTGCAATTGTTTAATGAGTTTCTTTGTTTAAATCCTGCTGTAGGTTTCATGTTTACATACTCTGCATTATCCAGAAGCACAGAAGCGAAAACTGCACGTTACTGGTGTGTCTTGGAATGTGACAGGCTCTGTCATTGCTTGTGCATATGGCAGGTATGATAGCTACAAATAACCAACATTGGGTCTGTATTCATTATTGGTAGTCACGTGCTCAATTAAAGTGAATGCTTGTCTTTCGTGATGTAGCGTTTGAGTCTTTCAGAGCAGGAAAGAAGACTCCAGCTGATCATTGGTTTTAAATTTAAATTCCATTGTGGCTGCACTTCCAATTCCAATAATACTACTTTGGGAATGGACCACAAAGCCATTCATGTTGGTTTAGACCATTACTAATGAAGATTAAACTCATAACAATGGCTTTGACAACATTTTTTCTTTCGTGGGATGTGGATGTGTGTGGTTAGGCAAACATTTGTTGCCTATTCCTAATTGCCTTTGAACTAATTCGCTTTCTAGGCCATTTTAGAGGGCAGTTAAGAGTCAAATACATTAAATGTGGATCTGCAGTCACTTGTATGCCAAACCACCTAAAGATAACAGATTTCACTTATATGAAATCTATTGAAGTATATATATAGAGTTATTTTTACATCACAGGAAAACGTCCTTTAGCCCATTGTGTCTGCACCAGTTACCAAGTATACACTACACTACACTAAATCCATTTCCAATGCTTGCCCTGTAGCTTTGTGTGCTAAGTTTCAAATGCTATTCTAAATACTCCTTAATTTTTGAAGGTTCCTGCCTTTATCACTCTTTTAAGCATTGAGTTTCAGATACCCACCACCCTCTTGGGGGTGAGTGGGCAAGAATTCCTCAAATTCCCTCTAAATCTCCTGCTTTTAACCTTAAAACTGTATTGACACTTCTCCTAAGGGGAAGCTTTTTCCCTATTTTGCTTCTGCTGCAGCTGCAGACTGTCCTGTGGAGGCATTTCCCCTCACTTACTCAACTGCTAATGGCACTCTTTAATTTAAAGTTTAAAAACTTTGGAGAGAAGGCCCTCCAACTTCAACTATTTCAGAAAACAACTTGTTTCCTTCTATTGGCCTTCCAGCTTTGAGCACCTGCTCATCATATTTAATTGAATAGTGAGACTAGCTTCGGGTCATAGAGTCATCGAGTTATACAGCACTGAAAAAGATCCTTCGGTCCGACTTCTTCACGCTGACCAGATATCCTAAACTGATCTAGCCTCATTTGCCAGCATTTGGCCCCTAGCCTTCTTAAACCCTTCCTATTCATGTACCCATCCAGATGCCTTTTAAATGTAATTGTATCCTCCTCCACCACGTCCTCTGGCAGCTTGTTCCATATGCGCATGCCCTTCAGGTCCCTTTTAAATCTTTCCCCTCTCACCTTAAACCTATGCCCTCTAGTTTTGGACTCCCCTACACTAGGGAAAAAAAGACCTTGACTATTCTCCCTATCCATGGCCCTCATAATTTTATAAACCTCTGTAAGGTTGCCCCTCAGCCTCTGACACTCCAGGGGAAAAGTCAAAGAAAATCACAACTTACTGATTACTTGTCATGCAGTGTCAGCTTCTGGCCTCCACTTGAGGTTAGAATCCGAAAACCCATGGGGAAGTCCTGTCCATATTATGAAAAAGAATGGTGATTTAGGAGAATCAATTTGTTTGAATTAGTTATAGCTACTTCAATCATACTCTGACTCAGGGCAAGTGAGGCTTGAACCGAGACCTCCTGGCCCAGTGGTAGGAACACTACCAAAGCACTACCAAGACCCCTCTTTTAATTGGTGATATACTGACCCAAGTGCCTCTGAGTTATTCTATTGGAATGGCCTTTATTTCTATCATCAACAACAGCAACACTCAAGAAGCTTGACACCATCCAGGACAAAGCAGTCTGCTTGACTGGCACTACATCCACAAGCATTCACTCCCTCCACCACCGATGCTCAGAAGCAGCAGTGTGTACTATCTACAAGATGCACTGCAGAAATTCACTAGAGACCCTCAGACGGCACCTTCCAAACCCATGACCACTTCCATCTAGAAGGACAAGGGCAGCAGATATATGGGAATACCACGACCTCCGAGTTCCCCTCCAAGTCTCTCACCATCCTGACTTGGAAATATATTGGTGTTCCTTCACTGTTACTGGGTCAAAATCCTGGAATTCCCTCCGTAATAGCATTGTGGGACAGCCCACAGCAGGAGGAATGCAGTGGTTCAAGAAGGCAGCTCACCACCTTCTCAAGGGCAACTAGGGATGGGCAAGAAATGCTGGTCAGCCAGCAATGAATTAAAAACAAAAATCTGTATGATCTAAACCTACAAAAATGATTTGAACTCACGGAATAATTTAGAATATAGGATAATAAAATTATTCTAAGTAAATACATTTACCTTAACAGCACTTTTGTGATTTTAGTAATTATTTTAAAAGATAGTCACTTGTTTCAGCCAATTTGTACGCAGCAATGTGACAGATTATCACAGGAGAATTACTGAACAAGGAAAGCTACACTTGCATCATCTATTTGTCTCTTAGATGATTGATGAGTTTTTGCCTCCATTCGCCTGTCTGGTACTATACTATTTGTTTTAGTGTGAAGAGCATTATATCCTTTGATGGTTTGTAGCGGGAATCCTTTTATATAACCCATTCAAAATAGATCCACCCCTTTTCTGTAGTACCTCCTCCTCTTGGAACTTCCAAGTAGCACCTTGGCACAATGATATTCTGTTTCTGTACATGTCACTGTGATTTTTAAATTCATACCCTGTTCCGCTTTGAAGTTTGTAGCCTTTTGGGTTTGAGATAGCATGACCTCTGTGTTCGCTAAGCATGTCATGCACTTTGGATGCTGAAAGTCATTTAAATGAGCTGGCTGTTGTATAGTTCAGACACACTGCAGTTCACTGCCAGGGCCTCTTAAATCTTCACAGGATTATTGACCCCTTTACTTTTAATTTGTCACAATCATGACATTTATTGAAAATTATTTAATAAGTTTGATTTTTATCAGAGATTTGTGTTACCTGAAATGTGTTGTTGTAAACATCTCTTCAGCTATCAACAACTTAGTTGAAGGTCTCTCTGGATTTTAAACAAAGTTTAATAATTAGGAAAGACTTGTTTTTATATAGAGCCTTTCATGATCTCAGGAAGCCCCATAGTACTTTATAACAAATGAAATACTTTACCTAATATAGATGGCCACTTAATACATTTTGAGTACTTTCAAAGCAATGTTTACTGTTTGAGTCACTTTCTTACCAATAGAAGTTGTTGCATGCAATTGTGATAAAACCATTTCGTCATAATATGTACATTAGTTAACTTTAAACTTTAACAAATAATTTGAAGAATTTTCAGGTTATTTCTTGTTCTGAAACTATAACCTAAAAACACAATAGATCCAGTTTTGTGTATATTCATTGGTGAAAGGTGAGTTTACACTTCTATTGTACCTTTTATTTTGTCCTTTGAACATTTCTATTGCACCAGGGGGCCAGTACAGATGCATGTTGAATGGCCTCCTTCTATACTGTAAAATTCTATGATTCTAGCAGATTGCTTTTGAAATGTAGTTACATTTTTGTGAGGAAACACAACAACCAATTTGTATCTACAAATAGTCATGATATGAAAACCCAGTTTTATTTCTGTCGGTTTTGATTGAGAAATTGATATTGGAGTAACACCTTACTCTTGAAGTTGTATCGGAAGGATTCTTTTTCTAGCTCATTTTGTTCCTTGCAGTATAAAATATTATGCCGGTTTCATATTTACTTAATACTTTTCAAAGGTGAGTTTTCATGGATTGTGTTTAAAAATAAGATTTATTTCATGTTCTGTGCGGATGCCTGGATTTTGTTTTTAAAAGAGAGACCAATGAAAAGACATAGTGGAACTTTTTTTAAAACAAGACATTTCTTGGAAGCTTCATGGTGTCAGCTAATTGTTGGACTTGTTTGTTGGTCATCGTCTGACTGGATTTTATGGATTGTTTGAACAGCTTTTTGCAGGCAGTTGGAGTTTGTTTTGGTTCGAGGAAGTCTGCTGAAGTATAGACTGCTCAGCTCAGATATCCTGTTTTTGAAATGACTCCAGTGTGAAACCTGATTGTTCACTTGAAGAGTTACTGGAAGTTTTCTTGATTAAAGTCTTTTGAGCAAGCTGCATCTGTCAACACCCCAGAGACAATTGCCTTGTCTGGTGACCTGTCATTGTGTGTCAGATCAACAGCCGACTGAACATTATACCTCATTCCTTTGTTTCCTTTAAGAACTAACCATTACTAGCCAAAAGTGTGAATCTTTATAGAATAAGCTTTTTTTTTTGTTTTGTAATCAAAAATGATTTTGTCTTTATTGAAGAAACTTGGTTGATGGATCTTTTTATTCTAAGTCTGATATAGAAAAAAAGACTTGCCATATCAGGAACTGCGTAAAATAATGAATTTTTGTTGTCAACGATAGTATAGTGGGAGTAAAGAAAGGCTGTGCACTCCTTCCATCTTACTTGTAACAACTGTTATCCAGGATTTGCTACTTGTTACTGAGTGTCATTGAGGACAGAACCACAGTGCACACTGGTTTCTCGCTGTATGATCTGATCAGTTCCTGGTTGATCAACTTTGAACCTGTGATTGTAGCTTAAGATTCCCCACAGAATCTGAGAATGTAATCCAAGATGACACATAAGTGCAGACCTGAGAGAATGCAGCACTGTCAGAGAAACTTTCTTAGAAGAAACATTAAACTGTCTGCTGTTCAGTTTGGTGTAAAAGATCTTGTAGCAATATTTGGAGAAGAGAAGTGGAGTATTCCAGGTGCTCTGGCTGATGCATATACTTCAACCAACATCATCAAAAGTTTAGCTGGACATTTATTTTGTTGCTGTGTGCAAATTGGCTGCTCCTTTTGTTTCCATTATAATAGAGACTACACTTGGAGTAATTTGTTGACAGTGACACACTTTTGGAATTCTGAAGATATTTTAAAAAGTTTCTATATGGTTGAGTGTTTGTTTCATTCAGTGCTAGTTGCAAATTGTCAGGGGATCAAAAATGCTTAAGAGGGTAAGGTACTTTTTCTATGTATTTTAGTTTTTAAAAGAAAGATTGTATCAGTACTAAATAACAAGAAATGAAAGTGTAGCATACATTACACCATTAATAGTGCTAGTCATCATTAGTCATATTATTTAATCTACTCCATTTAAGGATCATTATTATTGTCACTGACTGACTATATAATATCCACTATGTGTGGACCCTGCATCTTTTGTCACCTTGCTTTCTGCTTTGGAACAGCTGGACTGAAGTGGGCGCATATACTGGTGGATTTTCTTCTGGTGTTGATCATTTGACTGACAGCAGTGATTTCTGGCTCCATCATGTTCACAGTGTTATAGTTGAAAAAATTTGTAATGTTAAAAACACCCTCTGCAAGTGCATGCCTGTGTGCTTCCAGATTGCCTTTGACCAACGGACTACTAACATGAAGCAAAGTAACAAGAGATGATAGTGGGCAAGAAAGTTTCCTTTGTATAATATTATACAAAATCTAATTGATCATTTTTTCTTATTTAAATCACAATCTTTCTCTGAGTCACCATTTGCCATTAAATCATCCTGTAAATTATTCTGAGTAACGTTTGACTGTTAACAGCTTTGTGCTTTACTTTTCAATGTGAAAGTTTGTATGATTAGTAATAATTCCTATCACATTGTTTTCAGGTTGGAGGATGGTGATTGGAGTACAGAGAAGTCCTATGTGTGCTCCTGGAACCTAGATCGGAGAGGGTTGAACCCAGGGAGACCAAATACAGTGATAGATGTTTCTAGTGCTGTCATGTGCCTGGCATTCCACCCAGTAGAGCCTTCTTTGATTGCTGGTATGAATTGAGGCTTTCATTTTTAAAACCTGTATCTGGTCATCACATTTTAGGGCAATGGAGAAATGAGTTGAACCACTGAAGTCATTGAGCTCTTTTCCAACATCTTGGGCGTCCTGAGGCAGTGGATGAAAATCAGACTTGCATTTATAGTGCACTTCACAATTTCATGACACTCCGAAGTTGTTCGCAGCCAATGAAGTACTTTTGAAGTGTAATCACTTCTATAACATGGTAATTATAGCAGCTAATTTTCCTGCTGTAAGTCTCCATACACAGCAGTGATATACTAGTCAGTTAATCCATTTTGGTAATGTTAATTGAAGAATAAATATTGGCCAGGAAACTGGGAGACTGTCCTGGAATCTTTATCTGCAAGCAAGTGGTGTCTTAGTTTAACGTTTTATCCAAAAGACAGAAGAGATGCAGGTCATAGCCAGCACATATTACCAGCAGTAAATGATACAGCAAAGTGCTGTAATGACTGTCTGTACAGGGGTGATAACATTGAGGGAACTTTTATTTAAATGGATTTTTATTCGCCTATTTAGAATTGATGAGTAAAATGTCTGTGTTTATTCTCTTCACTCTTTATTCATTAACAGGATGATGGCGTTGCTGACTAGGTAGCATTTGTTGCCCATCCCTAATTACCCAGAGGACAGTTCAGAGCCAACCACATTTCTGTGGGTCTGGAGTCACACGTAGGCCAGACCAGGTAAGGATGGCAGTTTCCTTCCCTAAACGACATTAGTGAACAAGATGGGTTTTTCCAACAATTTACAATGGATTCATGATCATCATTAGATTCTTAAATCCAGATATTTTATCGATTTCAAATTTCACGATCTGCTTTGGCGGGATTCAAATCCCGGTCCCCAGAATGTTATATGCGTCTCTGGATTAACAGTCTAGCGATAATACCACTGGGTCATTGTGTTGTGTTGATTTAAGCTGCAGTGTTGAGGTTGGTTGGCTCGCTGAGCTGGTTTGTTGTTTTGCAGACGTTTTGTTACCATGCTTGGTAACATCCTCAGTGCAGCCTCCGGTGAAGCGTCGGTGTGTTTTCCCGCTTGGTTTTTAAACTCTGGGGTCCGTTGAGATGGATTACCTCACTTCTGGTTTTCCTTCGTAGTGGAATGTATATGGGGTCAAGTTCAATGTGTTTATTAATAGCATGCTTCGTGGAGTGCCATGCTTCTAGGAATTCTCGTGCTTGTCTCTGCCTAGCCTGTCCCAGGATCTTGGTGTTGTCCCAGTCAAAGTCGTGGTTCTCCTTGTCCATGTGGATTGAGATGAGTGAGTATTGGTCGTGTCTTTTTGTAGCCGGTTGGTGTTCATTATGGTTTATCCAATCCAGTATCTTGCCCCTAACACCATGGACTCTTATTTAATATCCTCCTTTGTGGCACTTTGACAAAGGCTTACTGGGAATCCTAATAGATCACGTTCTTGTTTGTCTTACTTGCTCATTGCTTCCTCAAAGAATTCCAACAGATTTTTCAAATGTGACGTCCCCTTGATGAAGCCTTGCTGACTCGACCATGCAATGTAAGTCATGTTTCAAAGCAAGTCTGTCTTTTTACATATTTTTTCCTCTGGTGTGCATGGCTGTTTAATTTTAGTTGCATGGTAACTTAGAGGTTGCTGGCCTCTTGCCCCTCCCAACTGTCTCTCACACTGTCACTGCCCTCTGCCCCTCTCCTGAGTCCTTGCTCACACAAGAGAGGAAGGGAGCAATGTGCAGAGTGAGGGGATTAGGAAGCATTTAGGAAACAAAATTGATTTGAAAGAACAATCAAGCATGCTGAGTTACAGTGTTAACCTTGGTGCAACTGCAGTAACTGAGGTAAAACAAAAATGGAGGTAGCACTATTTGTGTATATTCCCTAATTTATTAACTGTGCTAAAACAAAGATGTGCTGTTAGACCACATTTTTAATCTGGGGAGTATTTAAAGGTACGTTAGGATAGTAAATTAATGAAAATTAAATTGATTTTCAATTCCAATAGCTCCTCACTAAATTAAAAGATAAATATACTTCCTTTCAGAACCTCAACCATGAAGTATCCATTTTAATGTTGCCACTGTGTAATACCGCTAGGCCATTGCTTGCTTGCCTCCCTCCCCAGAGGGAAGTGATGGCCTAGCGTTATTATCACTGGACTGTTAATCTAGATACCCAGATAACGTTCTGGGACTTGAATTCGAATTTCACCTCGGCACATGGTGGAATTTGAATTCAATAAATAACTGGAATTAAGAGTCTAATGATGACTGAATCCATTGTGAATTGTTGGAAAAACCCATCTGGTTCACCTTCCTTTAGGGAAGGAAACTGCCATCCTGGTCTGGCCTACATATGACTACAGACCCACAGCAATGTGGTTGACTCTTAACTGCCACCTGGGAAATAAATGCTGCCTTGCCAGCGACACCTTCATCCTGTCAGCGAAAAAAAAGCATTGAAGTCTCCACTTATTCAAATATTAGCAAATTGAAGAAACTGATCAGGTATCTGTATGATATATTTTGATTTGGAAGTGGTAAAGACCCATGGTGAAGGTTTCTTTATACTTGTTCATGGTATGTGACTTGAGTTCACAAAATTACACAAAATCACAGAATCAGTAAGGTGGAAGAAGGAGGTTGTATGGTCCATCATGTCTTCACTAGCTTCCTGAGCATTTTGAATTTGTGCAAATCTCCTTCCTTTTTCCTGTATCCCTGCACATTAGATCATTAAATTAAAAATAATGTCCCCTTGAATACCTCAATTCAATCTGCCTTTACCTCACCTCCAGGCAATGCTTTCAAGCTCTTAAAAAGTCCTTGCGGTACATCATTGTTACCACTAGAGGATACTAGTGATAGAAAAATTCATGATTTGTGAGATAAAAGTTCAAAGTATTTTGTGTTGACTGATTAATACATTTGGAATTTCCAAATAAAATCCTGGGCAAGATGTTATCACAGCTGAAAAATAACCAATAAATTAATCTACTAATTTAAAACAAAAGAAAGGCTAGAAGGAACTGAAGAGTTCCTTTTTAACTTGAGAATAAATATGAGAGTTGAAGTCAATGCAGTCTTCCTTTAATACATTGAGGATGAAAGAGTTTTTAAAAAAAAAAAAGCAAGTTGCTTTCTGCTTTGAAGTTTAGGAACAACGATCAGATGAAAAAATGCCACCGTGGTAATGAAGAAGGAAAATTTGAACATTAGGAATAGTAGAATGTCACTCAACCCTTTGAGCCCGTGCGTTTCCAGTATTTTCCTGTTTTGTTACAGATTTATTTACAGCAGTCACAGAATTCACTTGGTCCCTATATAAATCTCTTAAAGCTTTCTCTTCTAGTCTGCAACTTCTGATTCCATGTTAACAATGAAAAAGGTTTTATCCAGTTATCCTAGCTGTTTGTGCCATTTTTTAAGGGATGGAGAGGACTTGGAGTTCTAACAATCTGTGTCAGTAATGATATTTTATCATGCATCATTGGAAAATGAAATACTTTGGATGCAGTCTGAAGGAATGGGTGAAAATATTGAATCTTTATTGTGTACCTCAAAGATTAAAGATTAATGCACTATTTGTGGGTGGAGCAGTAAACAAACATGCATTTATAGCATCTTTCATTACCTCAAGGAGTCACAAATCTAGTGATTAATAGAAAGTATGGCAGCTGATTTGTATGACCAGTTGGCCTAGTATTGGTTATCGGGACATTACTGGAACCTATAAGGGCAGAGTTACTGATAACTTGCAGCTATTCTGAGAAAATAGGTATAGATTTTTAAAGGGTATGTCATGATTGAACCTGACTGAACATTGAGTGTGTTGAAATACTCCCCACTTTGCCTGGACGAGTGCAACCCCAACAACACTCGAAGCTTGACACCATTCAGGACAAATCAGCTCACTTGATTGGCACTGTATCCACAAGCATCCACTCCCTCCACCACCAAAGCTCAGTAGCAGCAGTGTGTACTACAGTGTGTGCAGAAATTCACTAGAGATCCTCAGACAGCACCTTGCAAAGCCATGACCACTTCCATCTAGAAAGACAAGGGCAGCACATACATGGGAACACCACCCCCTACAAGTTCCCCTCCAAGCTACTCACCATCCTGACTTGGAAATATATCACCATTTCTTCACTGTCGCTGGTCAAAATCCTAGAATTCCCTCCCTAATGGCATTGTGCGTCAACCCAGTGCAAGTGGACTGCAGCAGTTCAAGAACGCAGCTCACCACCACCTTCAAGAGCAACTAGGGACAGTCAATGAATGCTGGCCAGCCAGGGACGCCCACATTCCACAAAAATGAATTTTTTAAAAAAAAAAAAAAAAAAAAAAAAAACATTTTGAGGTTGTCACTGAAGTAATGAACAGGTTGATGTCTGTGGATATTATTTAAATGGTCTTCCAAAGGCATTTGATACATTCCGTCGTAACAGACTGTTAACTAAAGTTAAAACTCTCAGAATTGAAAGGATCGGAAATAGGCTGAGTAGCAGTTCATGGAATAGGGGTAATGAGTAGGTACTCCAGTTGGAAAGGTGTAACTAGTTGTGTCCTATGAGGATCTATATTGGGGCTTCAGTTGTTCACTATTTATTTACAACACAGATGGTGGGATGAAATGCTGCATGTTCAAGTTTGCTGATGACAGGTAGGCAGATCCATGAAATATCATGGATAGCTATAGAAAATAATTGAAAAGGCTTAAAGGAATGCTGACCTTTATAGCTGGAGGACTAGAATATGAGGAAATGGAAGTCACGCTGCAGTGACTCAACATCCTGCTGAGACCACACTTTAGGAAGGTTATATGGACCTAAGAATGATTTATCAGAATGATACCTGAGCTCATTAAGTTAAATTACAAACAGAGATTCAACACACCAGAAGTAGCACTCCCTGAAATTTAGATGGTTAATAGGTGATATGATCAAAAGTAAGGCACTTTTGTCCAGGTCTCTCTCAGTAGTCCAGGAAC